TTTATTTTATGTGTATGAGTGTATTGCTTGCATATATATGTAAGTGCACTCATGCTGCACAGTGCCCACAGAGGTCAGAAGAGGGTGTCAGATTCGCCTAGAACTGGAGCTATAAATAGTTGTTAACCACAATGTGGGAGCTGGGAATTTAACCCAGGTCCTCTGCAAGAGCAGTCACTGCTCTTAACCACTAAGCCATTTCTCCAGCCCTTAAATACAAAATTTTCAAGAAAGCAGACAACTGAGAAGTTTAAAAGGTAATCAGTTTAAAGGATATGATTGAGAATCACATAGCATCATCATATGGTGGGAGCAGAAGTGATAGTTAGGTTATTTAGTTTGGAGTTGGTGATGGCTAATCTTGGTTGCCAACGTGGCTGAATTGGAAGTTGCCTAGGAGATTAGTAAACCGGAACTCTGGATATGCTTATGAGGCATTCCCTGAGAGCATTAACTAAGGGGGTTAGAGGAGACCTGCCATGAATGCTGGCAGCAACATGCCACACACTGGCAGCCTGGAGAAAGAAACAGGGGAAAAGGAGAGTCCAGGAGAGCAGGTGCTGTCACCCTGTGTTCTAAACACTCTACACACTGCAAGCTGAGGACTTACTTCAGCTGTCATGACGTTCTGCCTGAGCATAGCCCCAGAATCAATCAAGCAATCAATCAATACAATCATATTTTGTATTTATTTTACAAAATAAAATGCACCATCCCCCTTGAGCTGTTTATGTCAAGTATTTTGTCACAGCACTGAAAAGCATACAGGAATGGAGTGGTTTATTTCTACTTGGGTAGAGCTGTCCGAAGAATACAAAAGACCACTCTGTCTTCTATGGATTCTTTTCAGGAGTCACATCTTTGGTGAAGTCAACTATAAAATGTGATGCAAGAGCAAAAAAAAAAATGCCAGTTATAAATTGCTTGGACTGTAGAGTTTACCTTGGGAGAACTTTGAAAGGTGTTTTATTTAACACACTGAAGCATAATGGTGGAAGAAAAATTGCAACCCCAAATATTGAGACATAGGATATCATGACCTATGGAAGTCAACATTTCTTAAAGTTATAGTAACTATTTTATTTAAGTGTTATCAAATAAAGTATGTGGCTTTTTTCAGGAATTGGCCACCAACTTAGGAAAGCTTATAATCTTTTCTCTTTTGCTAGCCTATCAATCAAAGTGTATTCCGTTGCTTAATCTAGCATTTGAACAAGCCATTAGAACTCATGATTCAAAGCTTCTGCCCCTGGGAACCTAGAATTACTGTGTTCTTACGAGTATTACAATAGCTTGTGTTTTCACAGAAGAAACTTTATCCCTAAGGAATTCTGAAAAGCTTAGAGACTTTTACCCTAATCCTCACAAATAGTTCTATGAAAATATAAGAAGCGAGAACTAGTGTCTGCATCTGGTTAAACGTTTTCCCTAATGAGAACAGCTATCAGACTGGAATAACCAGAATTCTAGTTGTGTCTCTGGCCATGCCACCAAAACTGGGGACTCGACCCCTGATTGTTTCCATTTCTTCAGTTTTAAGAAGGGGGTGGAACAAGTTATCAAAGAGGGCCTACAGTACAAGTACAAACATGAACTTGGGTGCTCTGCTCTTCTGTCCTCCTCCACTGTCCTCTGCCAGAAGTGCCTCACATGGAAGCCTGAGGCTCCACCTGACTTTCAAAACAAAAACAATCATCCTTCAGTCACCACTTGGCCTAAGGATGAAAGCTCATGTCTTTCTGGGGTCTTAAAAGTACAGAAAAATACACATGGCTGGAGAGGTCATAGATCCTAGAGAAAACCCTATCTCCGTCATATCTATAGACAAATGAAATTTCTTATTGTATGCTAAACACGGATCGTTATATTTACAGGCAAGTACACTCTATACCACTTAACAAAGAAGCTTCTTTTTTCAACAGAGACTATTTATTACAGAGTGCCACAACTGGTCACATACAGAAGATATATGTCTGATAGATATTCAACCCTAAGTGACACATCTACAGTGGAACCTCTATACCTAAGACTCATGGACCATAGCAGAACAGGGGGTAGAGAGGATACTAATGCTTCCTCATACAATGAAGCTTCCTCATACAACAGAATGTGATGCACACAGAAGGTCACAGCTTAAGAATAAGAGACTATAGAGTGTGTGCCCTTGGATAAGACTCCTAGACTAAACCTCACCCACCTACAGTCAAGGATCATTATGGAAGAAGGGGTAGAAAGATTGTAAGAGCAGGGTTGTTGGGTGAACAAAAGGAAACAAAGATTTTCAGACC